TACTTTAGAAATTTTGATATCAATACTATTATATAACTCTCCATAGCAAAAAATATTTGTGACATACTCCAATATCTTCATACGTCCTCTTTAAATCTTCTCATTCGATTCTTATTGACCTGGATTGCTCAGATATATTGAATGAGGTCATCACATTTAAGCATGTAATATGCCATGCTTATCATTAGCTCTAAATGGCATTTATTTTCTCTGTTTATAAATTTTGCTGCACCATCACATCTCCCAGATATAGAATTCACTTGGTCAACAAATACTGAGAGCCCACAGGTTAGAGTCTCTGTTGTTTTGTGTCTTACAACGAGAGACAATAACAAAAGAGAGACAATACCTGCCCTCTTCCAGGTAATGCAAACCAGCAGAGGATGGCCATGATACACAAGAATCCAATTCTTTCAGAAAAAATAATCAAAGAAAAAAAAGAGAGTAAAAACCTGAAATATTCAGATGCATACACACACACACACACACACACACACAAACATGCACACACACCTGAAAGTTTTCTTTGTTTATTATAGCTCTTTCCAAATGAAACTATCAGGCAATGGATGCCTGCAAATCACTGTTTCCATCTTTTAGAACTACCCTACGAATGTGCCCCATTTTTAGAACGCATTCTAAGACATCATCTCACTATGTTTCTCTATGTTGATTCTAGTCCAATTTAGAGCAAACTCTGAGAATCTGTCAAGAACATTTGCCAAGTTATTGCAAGTTTAGCATTTAAATGGACCTCAGATAGTACAACTTTCTTATTTTGCTAGTTTAAAATGAAATCCAGAGGCCATAAATTTCAAGTGACATGTCCAAGAACACAGCAAGTGAAAAGGATAGGCCAGAATATCACTGTATAGATGATATATGATAATACTACCACCTTATCAGTTGCTATGTTAAAAATATATGATTTTCACCAAAAGAGTACTTTTCAAACATCATCAAAGAAGTGGTGCATTACAAACTCCCACTAATTGGTCCAATAACTAATGAAGTTTCTGCTTGCTGTATGTAATTCTTTCTTTCTTTCTTTTTTATTTTTTTGCAGCTTTTGGCAGGGCTGAGTTTGACCCCACCACCTCTGACATATGGAGCCGGCGACCTACTCCTTTGAGCCACAGGCGCCAGCCACTTTAATTCTTATTAAAGGAAAGAGCCATATCTGACTATCAAGAATGCTAAAGTTTGAGCCCCCATCAACACACACCAAAGGCAATAAACTTACTGGTGTATAACTTAACACATTTGGGAAAGAAATGTGTTTCTCAAAACTGTAATTGTTAAAATTCAAATATTATATCTAAATTGTCAAACTTTTGACTTTATACATAATATTGGCATAACATGGACAAAGATTTGGTAAGTCTTTTCCTGGTGCAGGCAGTAAAGGAGGTACATTTTCTGTGCAGAATTTACCTCAATTCTCATCATCTTCAGCAAGTCTAAAACATCAAAGACAAAGTATTCCTCATTCAAAATATCTTTGGTTGGCTTGGCACCTATAGCACAGTGGTTATGGTGCCAGCCACCCAGGCTGGCAGGTTCAAACCCAGCCCAGGCCAGCTAAACAGCAATGACAACTACAACCAAAAAATAGCCAGGCATCATGGTGGGTGCCTGTAGTCCCAGCTACTTGAGAGGCTGAGGCAAAGGAACTACTTAAGGTCAAGAGTTGGAGGTTGCTGTGAGTTGTGACACCATGACACTCTACAAAGACCAACATAGTGAGACTCCGTCTCAAAATAAAAAAATATATATATCTTTTGTTGATATAAGTTTTAAATATTTTTGAAATTTAACAACCCAGCCTTATTAACTTTTAAATTAGCGTATATTTACTTTTTATCTTTTAGCAAACACTGTATTCTACTTGAAAATAAAGTGGAGGATTCCCATAAAACCACTGAAACACCCTGGCCTCCAGGACACTTAGGCTCAGTCACACTTGCTGATTTCGGGCGATCACTTCTAAGGTGTCTTCCTCAGTGACTGTGATCATTATTGTCAATCTCCTGAGTAAATGCAGGAATTTGTGTCTCAAAATTTTCTCAGAGACAATTCAAGCTATTTTAACCATATTTAATTTCAGATGGTATTTTCTGAATTGGATTTAATGTTAAAATTTTGAGTAAAGTCATGACTATAAAAGATTCCTAAACTTCCTAGACATTTTAAGGTTGTCAGAAATGATTCCAAAGAACCAAAGACATGTCTACTATTGTAAATTCTGGAATGTATTATGAAAAGAGATTTTCATGAATCTGTTCTCATCTTCCTAATGCCATATATTTGTTAATTTATTTGAAAAAAACTCTCTAAAAATAAAATTAATAGGAAATAATCAACAGAGAAAATAGACAACTTATGTAATGAGGCAAAATATTCCTAAGGCATGCATCTGTAAAGGGCTAATATTTAGAATCTACAAAGAACTCAAACAAATCAGCAAGAAAAAACATAAAAATGTGTGCAGAAGATGTGAACAGTTATTCAAAAGAAGATAGAGAAATGGACAAAAAAAGGAAAAAATGGTGTTGAAAACTGCTCAACCTCACTCATCCTCAGGGAATTGTAAATTTAAACCACAATGGGGTATCATGTTCACCCCCATACAATGGATTTTATTAAAAAGTCTAAAAACAGTAGATAATGGAGTATATAACAGACAGAAAGGAACTCAATGCTTATTACGCTATGGCTGGGACTGCAAATTAGTACAGCCTGGAAAACTGCACGAAGATTTCTCAGAGACCTAAAAGGAGACCTTTCATTCAACTCAGCAATCCCACTACTGACTATCTACCCGAGGAAAAGAAATAATTTTATCAAAAATACACCTACACTCTAATTTGTATGGCTGCACAACTCACAATTGCAAAGATGGGGCATCAATCTAAGTGCCTAGCAATTCCTGAGCAGATTGCCAAAATGTGATCTATGAAGAATACATGGAATAGTGGTCAGCCATAAAAAAGGATGAATTAATGCCTTTTGTATCAAGCCAGATGGAACTGGAGACCATTCTTCTAAGTGAAGTATTTCAACAATGGAAGAACTAACTCCACCAGTGCTCCATGCTAACTGGTGGGCACACGTGTACATGTGCACAGAGAGAAGTAAAAGTCATTGGAAAACCAGCAACGGGAGACTTGGGTGAACCTACTAAGGGGTAAAATGAGCACTCTTTGGGTGATAGCTCACTTACAGTCCCAACTCAAACATTGGAACAGCTATCCATGTAACAAAAACATTTGTACCCTTTTAATATTTTGAAATACAAAAAAAAAAAAGATGTTGTGTACACTATCTTAAAGCTATGTTTTTTAAAGATGAAAATAAACGGTTGGTGCCTGTGGCTCAAAGGGGTAGGGTGCTGGCCCTATATGCTGGAGGGGGCAGGTTCAAACCCAGCCCTGGCCAAAGATAAATAAATAAATAAATAAATAAAGATAGAAGCTTTGTATGTCTTTTAAAAAAGATGAAAAGATGAAAATAAACATGTGATGAATAAAAAAATTAAAGTTCTATGGGTAGAAAAACAAATGACGGTAAAATTAGGTTTAATATATATATTATAATTATGAACAGAGAGCTGTTTTCTAACAGGATATTCTCAACCATTTTGGTTTTCTTATTTTTACTAACAGTCAAAGGTTTAAAACAAGGGGAAGTACCCACATGGAAACAGAACTAGTAAGATGTGAGTGAAGATAAATTGATGAATCTGGCTGAAATGTCTATTAATAGTGATAATGGTTTATTTCTCTTCTTCTTCTTCTTCTCACTTCCCTTCTTTTCCTTTCCCCTCCCTCTGCCTTCTCCCTCTCTCCGCTCTTCCACCTCCACATCTTAACACTAACTCGATCTCACCACCTCTCTATGATAAGGGCCCTGTAGTTACATTGGAAACACCTACTTAATACAGGACAATTCCTCCATCATATTTGCAAAATACCTTTTGCTACATAAGGTAATATATATAGTCACAGGTTCTGGAAATGAGGACATGGATGTCTTTGGGGAATCATTCTGTCCACACATATTTATACGTGGGTCATTATGAAAGTTTTGAGATGCACAAAAATCAAGAAACTTAAAATCCA